ATGTGTGTGTTAAAACCTGAGTTAAAAGGAGAAAAATGTTAAAAGAAAAGATGTTGTGGGGGGGTGGTATAAATTGAGGTAACAATAAAGAATGTAAACTAAAATCCACTAAAACACAGACTTAGCAGTGACAGGAACTTAGGTCTGTCTTTAGCATACTTCCTGTACACCTAGGAAATTACCATGCTCTCTGCCTGTGTGTGGATAATGGCGCTCTCACCTTCCATACTTTGTGTCCCCCACCAACAACTCTGGTGCCCTGTACCACCTTGTGGCCACATAGTCAGTGTACGTCGCACCTGGAGTTGCAAGCAGACGGGCAAAACCAAAGTCACATAACTTGATGACACCCAACTGTGACACTAGAACATTCTCTGGCTTCACATCACGGTGCACAATCTGGAAATGTGACAACCAGTATTACCATCTGTACAATATAAATTTGCTATTAGCAAAACATTATTAGGGTCATCAAATGAAGGACATTGAGATGGGAAGGCCTTGTAGCATTCATGGGAGATCAGAAATGCATACAAAATTTTGGTCAGAGAGCTTGAAGGGATGACACCACTTAAAAGACTTAGATATAAATGAGGGGTACTATTAAAATCAGTCTTAAAGAAGTAGGATGTGAGGGTGTGAAATGGATTCATTTGGCATAAGATAAGGTCTTTTGAGCACAGTAAAGAGTTTTTGGGTTACCTAAAAAGTGGGAAATCTCATTTGCTATCCTTTGGAATGTGACGCCATGTAGTCAGTAGAACATTATCTACATTTTGAAGGAAGCTGCTGCTGTCTTCAGGGTAGAAGAGTTGACCCAAAGATGGAAGCAAAAGGTTTTATTTTAATTCGCTTAGTGGGGGTTGGAGTCCAAATGGGTCTACTCGGCACGGCGGCCACTGATTGGCCTATTTTAGCCTGCTCCAGGTGATTATGATGATGGAGAATTTGGTGGAATGAAGATTGGCAGGGGAAACCGAAGTACTCGGAGAAAACCCGCCCCAGCGCCACTTTGTCCACCACAAATCCCACTTGACCGGACTCGGGATCGAACCTGGGCCGCCGCGGTAGGAAGCCAACGACTAACCGCTTGAGCTATGGCGCGGCCGAAACAAAAGGTTCCTCAAAAATATTCATCATCTTCTACCAGGTTTTTTTATTGCTAGTGGGGTGGGACTAAGTCCCTTGTACTGCGGCCACTTCTGGCCTATTGTACCAGCCCCAGATGATAGGTGAGGGTGATTGTGGAGCAATTGGTGGAATGAAGATTGGCAGGGGAAACCGAAGTACTCGGAGAAAACCCGCCCCAGCGCCACTTTGTCCACCACAAATCCCACTTGACCAGACCCAGGATCGAACCCGGGCTGCCACGGTGGGAAGCTAGCGACTAACCGCCTGAGCTATGGCGCGGCCTTCTACCAGGTTAGGCAGTGTCACATGCCAAAAACAGAATTTTCTTGGTCACTGCCACAAGAACCTCAAGCCTCCCCTTCTTGAGCAGCTGAGTGACTACCGGTTTCTCAAGAAGGGCTCTGCTCCATGAAGTCATTGAGTGCAGACCCTCAAGCATGCTGACGCCCAACAATGAATAGTCAGACACAGGGAAGGTGTCAGTTCAAGTTTCTATGGTTCTCACAACTTACATTGTTGGCATGACAGAAGTCGATACCCCTGAGAACTTGGAAGATGTATTTGCGTGAAGTTTCTTCACCCAGACCCCTGGTGTTGTCCTCAAGTTCATCCAGAATTGTGTGATCCATGTACTCGAACACAAGGTAGAAACGGCGTTTGCGTCGGAACACCTCAATCATGTTCACCAAGTTCTCGTGCCGCAGTTTCTGTTATGTACACAAAAGAGTCACTTAACTAAGCACTCCATGAGATCCATCTTCACGTACCATCAGTCTGTGTTTGTGTCTCTTACAGTGGCAACCATGAAGAGTACAGCCTTCAGGGTTGTAATGCCGTGTAGTTTGGACAGAGTCTGATATTTTGTAGGAACATTCCGCCCCCACATTCAAAACCGCAGAGTAGACTAAGCAAGAAGCAGGAGACAAGCGGAGTTCTGCTTAGCTCAGCCTTCAACCATATTCCTCTGAAGTGTCAGACTTTTTCCAAACTACGTGGTAACACAAACCAGAAAAACGTACACTTCAAAGCCTTTGATTTGTTTCTTAACCTTCAGAGGAGCAAAACTTTCCTGTACTTAATTAAACACGATTCTATGGTGTATGGGGGAGTGGACATATTGCCCCATGTATTCTTATTGATTCATACTATTTTAACAGCACTGTCAGTAATCTCAGAGTGAATGGGATGATGGTAAGTGAATTATGAACTGGAAAAATGTGGAACGAAACAGACATGACCTAATTATAGATGATGTCCCACCATTTGCCTGGAGGGGCTGAGGAAAACCATGAAAACCTTCACAGTAGTCTGTGCCAGCCGAGATTCGAACCGGGAACATTCCGAATACAAATCAGTAGCGTTATCGCTTCAGCCAACTTGCTCAGCCCGACACATTCTTAACCTCTGCAGTGAGTGGTCGGTTTCACGTTTCCACTCTTTAACCCCAGGGGAAATGGCTCCCAGTATCCACTGAACAGAATGCTGGGTGGACCTCAAAGCCTATCTGGACGTTGTCGAGAAGACAAAAGCACTGGCCTTGTTTGTATGTCACATTAATGCCTACGAGTACCTTCCCTCGCCTAGGCTCCACTAAATTATGTTCTGCTTTTACAAAGGCCAGCTGATATGACAAGATTCCACTGAAAAGCAGAAAGTGGGCTAGTCATGCAGCACTCCACCAAAACCCCGCGCTCTTTCTCACCTTGAGCATGCGAATCTCGCGGAGCGCCATCTTGCGGACGTTCTGATCTTCCTCCGTCTCTATGAACTTCTTGATGGCCACCAACTGGCCTGTCTCCCGGTGTCTGCACTTCATGACCAGGCCGTAGGAGCCTTCCCCTACGACGGAAATGTTTTCATACTTCTCCATGGCCCACTGTCATCTCTCCAGGACCCACCTCCGCCCCGCCCCTCCTCAGGTCTGCCGCAACACTGCAAAGCAAATAACAATTACAATTACGAGCACTATCTTTTGTGATGTGACGTCGTGTAGTCTAGTACGAGTTTTCTGTGTAATTCAATTATTTGGATTGGTTTTCTTTTTGATGTATTTAACTGCACTGATTGGGGGCACGTGATAGTGTAGTTGGTTGAGTCACTATGCTACAATCCAGAAGGTCGAGGGTTCGATTCCCGATGAAGTCACTGGATTTTTAAATTGATGTAATCCTTCTAGCCACACTGTGGCACTGAGGTCGTCTCAGCCTCTGACAGAAATGAGTATCAGGAATCTTCCTGGGGTTAAAGGGTGGCCGGTGCGTAAGGCTGACAAACTCACCGCCATCTGTGAGTCGACTGTCTAGAAAATGTGGGAGTGTCGATGTCTCACAACTTTATGGGCCTTCACGACATGTTATAGCGATAGCTTTACCTTTATTTACCCTCACTCAGTAGCCGCATTGCCATCAGAAGCTTGTAGAGTTTAATGAGACGGGGGGATAGGGCTGCTCAGACAGGTGCAGCCCACCCCCCGCATGCGGCACGCGACAAGGCGGAAGCGGATCTGGTGGCTGCCTTCCATTTCATTTTAAAAGGAGGGAGTTGTGTTTGGACGTGAATGCGTGTGTCACACCGAAAGAACACGCCACACTACTGCTACACAGTACACTTCGATTTCATTATACTGCGTCATGTTAAGAGCAAGAAACGAAAAAGTATGGCTTACAGAATCTCTAGTGTAAGAACCGTTGAAAACTGATCACGAAATTTCAACATCTGTTGAGACAGTACAAGATTTCGTAATATTAACTTCTCCCTCATTCTTTTACAGCTCTACATGTTACCGAATGATGCGTCGAGGCCGACGTTTAACGCCATCTCCCACGGATAACTGGAACAAACAGTCAATGGAAAGCAATCTTCTTTATATTGTACATCACATTGCACACATCCACATAAAAATATTATCAATACTCAGAGAAGAGACATGACATATTGAAAAAAAAGAAAGACTTCGCTATTTCATGACTTACTATATAATTTCTTTCATTCAGCGTCTTAACACTCGACAATTTGTTTTTATGGAAAACCAAAACTGTGCGATGAGAATGACAGATCTCGCGCTTACAAATTTGTTTGTATGAACAGAAGGAAATTAAGCTTGAATGGGGACAGGAGTTGCGTATTACTACTACACGTAATTTCTTTTTTAATTCGCTTGGGGGGGGGGTTGAGTCCAACTGGGTCCACTCGGCACGGCGGCCACTTATTGGCCTATTGTAGCCTGCCAGGGGAAACCGACGTACTCGGAGAAAACCCGCCCCAGCACCACTCTGTCTACCACAAATCCCACTTGACCAGACCCGGGTTCGAAGACTGGCAGGGGAAACCGACGTACTCGGAGAAAACCCGCCCCAGCACCACTTTGTCTACCACAAATCCCACTTGACCAGACCCGGGATCGAACCCGGGCCGCCGCGGTGGGAAGCCCGCGACTAACCGCTTGAGCTATGGCGCGGCCACTACTACACGTAACCGAAATTAAAGAAAAAAGCAGGCCCATGCATGGTATCGCTTGGACAGAAATAAACTGCATGGACCTGAGTCCTTGTGAAGCTAGTAGTTTCTCACGTATTCTGGAAATCACGAGCGTTTTATGGAACCTGGAATTTCACTAGGGCCTTCATAACAGCCCGCCACTGGCCAGACGAACACAGTCTACACCCTCCCATCTACACTTACGTCTTCCCAGTGGACTCCTTCCTTCAAGGCTTGGCAACAAAACTTCGTGTCCTTCGGTTCTTATCTGCCTGCAGTGGAGGGCGAGACTGCATTAACAGCGCAATGTTTCTGTGCTGGCTACGTCCTATTCGTGACACGCGCACACACACACACACACACACAGATCATAGAGACTGGCGTCGCCGTAAAGCTCTAGACACATATTCCAGAGATGTTTGGTTCGAATCTCGACAGAGACGACTTTCAAATTCTTCCAAATTCATCGGAGTCAGGATAGCTCAGTCGGTATAGCGACGGGATATGGGCTGGAAGACCTGGGTTCGATTCCCACAAGTGGAAAGATTTTTCTCTTCTCCACAATGTCCAGACCGGCACTGGGACCCACCTAGCCTCCTATCCAATGGGTAACTGGTTCCTTTCCCACAGGAGTAAAGCGGCAGGGGAGTGAAGGTCTAGGTCAAGAATGGTGGAGCTATAATTCCACTCCCCCATATCTCTTTATGGAAAGCGCTTAATTAATTAAGTACAGGTGAAACTTTATTTTTGTCTTCGAATTTATCAGTCGTCCTACCATCCAATGCTATGTAGTGCAGATACGGTTCGCGTCGCAAGATACGGAGCACGCGCGCCCGGCAATCAGCGCGGATGGTTCTGCACGAGACGGTCTGTGGGCAATACTGCACCTGCAAGTCAATGTTTATACTTCACGCAACACAGCAGTGACGAAGAGGCTGCCGCTTCATCACGGCGGAAAGATTCTCGCCGGGCTCGCATGTCGCAAGTACAGGAAAATGTTCCTATTTTGGTTAGTGCTGTCGGTGCCAATTTCAATCTGTCAACAATGCTGAATCAACGTGTATCATGCTGACATCAAGTAGCAGATTGTTCTTGAGAAGCCGAAAGTTGCTCCACTGATCAAGCAATTCCTCTTCTACGGAACCCGAATGTTCATTACAGTGTTCATAAAAGTGCTGTAGGGGACGGAAGCCGAGTCAAACGAGTACAGCCCAAATCCTCATTCTGTTTCTTTAAGATCCACTTTAATAACATCACAGATCTGACCTATCAAATTTGGTTTTGCCAGGCAGTCATTTCCCGACACCGTCGTCTGGTGCATTCAGCCCGCTGTGTTGTACCTCATTTTGTATTTTTCCTAAACGTGGGTTATTTGGGGGTTCTGGCACCGTCACATACTGACCAATAGTAAAAAAAGTATAAAAAGGTAACGCCCTGTAACAGACCGTGGAGACCCATAGGATTGTGAGACGTCGAAACTCCCACATTTTCCTGACAATCGGCTCACAGATGGCAGTGAGGTTGTCAGCCTTAAGCTTTGGTCACCGTTTACCTCCAGGTAGATTCCTGGTACTCATTTCTATTAGAAGCTGTGTCAACGCCAGGGTCATAGTGCTGCTGGAAAGACTGGGTCAATTGAAAAATCCAATACCCTCATCGGGAATTGAACCCGCGACCTTCCGACTTGTAGCATAGTGCCTCAACCAGTTACTCTACATTACCGACCAGTAGCGGTTGGAAAAATTCTCTGGTCCCAAGTGTTCCTGATTTGAGGAGTCCAATCTTCTTGTTCCATCTACGTCTAGGTCTCCCAAGTGGTTCCTTACCCTCACGTCTCCCGCTGCCTTGAGCCGACGGGACCAGACACAAATGTTGCCCGATTAGGGCGGGAACGTTAACCAAGTCACCCCGCTTGTTTGCTGTGACCTGCTCACCCCACGAGGGAGGGTCTGGATCTACTGGTTAGATATCCCTATGCTTAATTAAATACCACGTATGGCTAGTGTATTTTTAACCTCGGCACTAGACGGAGGCGACTGGTCAGGATCACACTCCGGCCGTTTTACCTTCGGCAAGTGAACCCTCAGTACCCATCTGATAACAGGTGGGCCCCAGAGCCGGTCGGGATTCTATGAAAAATAGAGAAAGCTTTAGCAGCTGACGAGAAAAGAATCCAAATTCCTGGCTCTCAGTTCTACTGGCAGTACAGAGTTCAGGGTCACGGGGTCAGAACCTGCAGATTTTAAATGTACTTTGCCTGCATTTTTTTCCCAAATCAAGGACAAGTCAGTAAAGTGGTAGGCCATGATCCGGAGGGATCATCACAGTGCCCAGACGGGCTTTGGGCCTCGCCCTGCCTCCTATCCAAAGCGAACCAACCGTAAGCTATTGAGGAGAGGATAAAGACAACTTGAACGTGAAACTGACCAATTACCTAAAACTACTACCGAGATTAATGTACATTTATGTGTCCTATACGATCCGTGTGCCCCCCACGCAACTGCCCGCGGCTCCCTTTGGTCGAAAGAATCTATGGACCGTCTCAAATGGCATTTCCGTGGACGTTTGTAAGGCTCCCTGATGTGGCGGTCGTGACCCATCGGTTAAGAACCACTTATGCGGATCTATTACATTCCATAAATGCATAAATTCTATTTATAACTTACCCACAAAACATATACTATACCGCGTAAAATACAGTTAACCATCAGAGACACAAAACGTCTGTGAGAGTACATCATATTTTGAGTGTGCAACTTTACCGCAGAAAAGTCCCGTGTAGAGAGATGTTGGCTCCTGTCATAAGTTAAAAATACAGAGCGATTCTAAATTATTGTCGGGGTCTCCGTTTCTAGAACACGGAAACCCCGACAATAAATAGAATCACCCTGTATAAGTTGGTAGCTATGTAATGATGGCGCAACAATTACGTCACTGTTTCACGATGACGTACCCTCAGAAATGTACCAGACACAGCATACAAGCTCTTCCATCAACGCCTTTCACTAAATGACCACCACCTCATAAGATATTTGAAAGTGAAATTTCCTGCCCCGCGCGATGAGTCTCCTAGAGGCATACACGGCCTGGCTGTTCCCATGACCCACCGCGAGCTGCGCAGGGGCGCACAGTAGTAAGCTGTGTGACTGTCACAGGTAGACCCATTGATCACAGGGGGTGGGGAATCCCACGGGCAGACTGAAAACTGAACTATCGGCCTAACGCTTAAATCGAAATCAGGTCTTCTTGTCCGGGAGCCGAAGTGTTACATTATTGCGGAAAATAGCGAATCAGCTCATACCCTGAAGATGGATTAGCTTGGGTTCCCAAAGCTTCAGCAAACATATACCAGACTACACGGAATTTTTTGATAAGGAGCATATCCCAAAGAAAATATTATACAGTACAATAGGTGGTAGGAGACGTGCTGGGAAACCAAGAACTAGATGGATTGA